TTTTAGGGTTTTTTAAAAGCTCCTCCGAGTGCCGTCAGTAGGCCCCCCCTAAGCCTGCCGGCGCCCTGCCGCAGAGCCCCTGCGCCGGCCCAGGCCGGGGAGCGCAGCCGGCTCTTTGGGAAGCTATAGAGAGAGTTTAAAGGAAACCGCCTAGGGGCAAGAACCGACAGCGTGGAGATCAAAATATTAATCCAATTAGTGTTTTTGATAAAACGCAAACGTCTACGTGTTCGCAAAATGATTTTTGCAAATTCTGTTAGCGACTGGTGACCAAGTAAATACTATTTCAGCTGTTTTCCAGCTCTGGCCCATAGGCCTGGTATGTTATTTTAAATAAGTATATATATATTATTCTACAGATGTCACAGCAGTAGTAATGGCATATGCTTCAGAGCTATCCCCAGAAACGTTTCTGAAAAAAATGCTAATCGACAAAACCCTTCAGAAGGGGAGGGGCTCAGCTTGATTTTTGTCTTTTGTGAGAGACAAAGTTGGAGATATGAATAGTTTATGGCAGTCTGGCCTATGAAAAATATCTGACATGGTGGGTTATTGTTCTTATTGCTGCGGGGGAAAAATCTCCCTGACAATAACTGTTGTCCTTAACCTGACCTCTCAGGGCACTCTGGACTGTTTAACATAGAGCTCAGACGGTATCAGTTTAAAGTAAACCTAATTTTATGATACAGGTGTCAGGGCAGTAAATGTCACGTTCATGACAATTATATGGCCTCAGTGCGACACTCTCGCTCACACTGGTAGCCCTTATGCCTTTGAGCAGTTCATCTGAAGTCTTTGTTTTAAGATCTCAGACGCTTAATCCCAGGCTTACGCTGGTGTTTTCTTTTCCTTTACTATGCCTGCAGTTTTTAAGTTCTGCACGAGGAGAAGAAATTTTGAAATTAATACAGACTTGCCACACCGTCAAAGGATCAGTATTTAAAAATACATCTTTTTTGGCTAAAACTGCTGGATTCCACGTAATTAATATAAAGAGATTTAGTTTTTGGAAACGGGCTAAATGAATCCGATTCCTGGCTTCTCTGAAGAGTGCAGTACAGCGTGTACATTTGAAAAGCTTCCACTCTCTCCGCAGAGCTGTGTTAGGTTTCACAACACTGCGGTCTTCTGAAAAGGAGTCCTCACAAAGCCGCTTCCCAGTTACCGCTCACGCACACCAGGCCTGGCAGCGTCGCCAGCCTATTCAAGCCCTGGCATGAACTGGAGCAGCCCTGGACGTCCGGGCCCAGTGTTCCCACCGTTTCTGACCAGACATCAGCTACTCTCTACAGCCCCTGCGACTGAAAGGGAAATGCCTGTATTTCTTTCTCATTCCACCAGCTGCAACTTACCCAGATAAACCTGTAGCCACTTAGGAAATTCGATTATATTGAGCATGAGAGTTCAATATCAGATTCAGCCTAGAGCAAATTGATAGAAAAATTTGATATAACTTCCTTATTTTAATTGCAAAAGTCAAGTGACTTAAAGGGGGGGTCCGTCTCTGGTGCATTTGTTTGCTGTCATCCACTCGGTCTGCTCCCCTCCCTCCCCACTTGCTCTTTTTCTTTACATAATTCCTGTATTTTCCCAGTCTTGTAATAGTTTTCTCCCAGCTGGCAGCTTGTTTACATTGACCTCACTGTCAGCAGAGAGTCCCTCACTTTTTAAAATTCTGGAAGGCAGCTCCCCAGCCTGTGCAGAGCGGCACGCGCCGACGTATGTCAAGAAAGCTAAGCCTACTCTACGGCCGCTGTTCGTTTCAAGCTTTGGTCCTCACTCTCATTAAAACGCCAGAAAAATGAGAGGCCAAATTAGAAAAGATGTCCTGAGAAAGTGTTGTTCTGAGTATGGAAATACTAGAGTCGATGAGAAAAAAGGCAAGAAAAGAAATCTTTCACCTTCACGTAATTACTTCTGGAACCTTAAGGGCCAACCAAGTCTTTCAGCCCTATGCATCTGTCAGCAGCAAGATAGCTTTTCTTTTGCCACTCCATGACTTTATGATTTATTGCTTGGTGACAGATAACCATTATCAATAATTTAATTGTCCCAGGATGTTCAAACTACACATTTAAATCTGGGATTTATGTTCATTTCCTCTTAATGTTCATGCTAATGACAAGTGCATGTGTTCTGACACACGATGTTGTCTCCAAGTTGTTAAGGAAATATAAACTTCACGGCCTGGGTGCAAAGGCATCTGAGATATATTAGAGGCTTTGTTATTCTGCTCCCTCACCAGAACTTTTCTTTACAGGGTAAATGAGCTTGAGATTCACAGGGCTGTCTTGACATTTCAATCGCTAATTTGCTAACTGATCACTTTGCATGAAATGAGAGTCCTCTTCCTTGTCATGTCTCCTAAAATGAGGCAAATGAGCTGCTGACACTGGGGGTCAGAGGTGTGACCTGCGCCAGGAAGCTGAACCAGATAATATGTTAGTTTAAGAATTTCACCTCGTAATAAATTAGGTGGCTGTTCCTTGCACACTTCTACCAAAAAAAAAAAGAAAGAAAAGGACACATGACAGCAGAATGACTACTATGAAAATGTGTAATGTGTTTCCTTAACTCCGTAATTCAAGCTTCCATTCAAGCTGTCTGTTTGCAGAGCTTGTTTCCAGAGTCAGCAGGTAACTGCTCCCCAACTGTAAGTTGTGGTTTGCTGCTTCTTTAGCCACTTCAACTTTGCTACATACTGCTCAGGATCCAGAATAACAGAGAGAAGCAGTGCTGCTTCTTAGCCACACTGAAATGCAGACATCCTAATCTGTTTTTCAGTGACCTGATATGTGCCAGGACCAGATTGTCTTCAGTTGTAGCCATTGTAAGGGGAAGTTATACTACACAGTTTCTGAAGGAAACAAGTTTTACCAATTATTGTTCCCTCCTCTGCTTAAGCAGAGAAGTTCCTCAGTGTTCAACATCTTGCTGCTCTGGATATGGAAGGTAGCAAAGAATCATCCCTTTTCCTGAATCTTTTTGTGGAGTGCAGTTTCACATTGTAACGCGTGCTTTGTATCTTGTTGCCTCATTTTCAGTCCAGTGATATTCTGGATTTAATGGGAAGGCATGGACAGCATTGCTCTAGTTTGTGTTTGTTTTCTCAATGTGTTTCTGTGATAGCTGCCAGGCACCTTTTGGTTGGCAAGTTTCTCTCTTTTTCCAGTTATTTTCACTGGCAAGTTATATGCTGTATGCTAATCTATGTGCTACACAGAGCAATTCAGCTGTTTGATCCTTCTTTTACAATGACAGTAATCAATTCTACTTTGGTTACAAATCTGCTTCCTTTCTCCAAGGTTCATAAACCCACAGAGGGAAGCTTTGGCTTTGGCCATCAGCTTATATGATGTGGCCTAATCCTATCACTTTCGCAGCTCTCCAGTGGCACAAAACCAGCTTCACTAGATTCGTGGGTTTTTTTCTGTCATTTGGGAATCCTGATGTGGTGACAAGATAGTGTAGCTGGCCAAACAAAACCTTGGTTTGTTGTCAATTTGAATGTATATTGGACAAGGGCCAGAAGAATGAAATTATGCAAACGCTGAGCCATGAAACTGTAGGTCATAGACCAAGTTTTCAGGCAACTCCCTGTTGAACCAGGATCCTGGCTGCCGCCCTCTCCACTCGTGATTAGGTGAGAATGGACCTAGAAGCTTTTCTTTGGCAAAATTGTTCATTAAAATCTTGGTGGTAAATTTTTCTTCAGTCATTCTGTGACACACCACTTCTCCAAGGCACTTGGGGAATGCCAGGAGAAAATATAGAGCACCTGTAGTCTCTTGGGTGGGTCTGGAAACAGAATTTCACTGCAGTGGTTGA